CGAAAAATCCTAAATACATCTTCGTTCATTGACGTGGACCTCTTCAAGTTGGCATTTTTCTGAATTTGAAGAAAGGCAATCGAACTCTGCAAAGTAGTGTTGGTCACTGAGTCCTTGGTTGCCATCTCCACAACCTAACTTTCAATCTCAATCGATTAACAGCTTGTGTATTCTTCGTTACTGTGGTTCCTTTGTGTGTACTTTAAAAGCACTTAAAAGAGTAGTTTTCCAAAGAATTTCAGTTTTCTGTGAGCAACGTTTCGTAATCTTTTGCTGGTTTTCTTTCAGGTTTGTTTTCGTCACTGTAAACAACTTTAGCTAAGACCTTTACAAGGTACTGTTTGCCGTCAAAAATAATTTAATTGTCCCTCGTGTACTTTGACGACCACCTCTTTGTTGAAAAATGTTGCTCAAAATTTGACAAGAAGGGCAATGAGCAATTGAACATATACTTCTGTGTCGATTATCACTTTCGACGTTCAATTTCCAAGCAACTTATCTAGTAAACTTCGATGTACTTTGTTCTGTAAACACTATTCTGTAATTGATGGGTTTACAGTCAGCCAAATATATTCAAATGATGCAACCTTAAGTAATCCTCAAGGGGAACTCACATTGATGAAAAATGGCTTAACTAAGCTTAATAACAGGAGTACTGCAAACGTTGACGCACGTTTTCTTTGTCCTCGGATTCTCTTTGTTAAATTTGGGTCAATAGTAACCATGGCAAAAAATCAGTTGTTCTTAGTGAAACTTCGGAGACTTAACAGTGTCAATAATGGACCCAAAATGACCATGAAAAGTAATGAACTCTGGAAAACATTACATTAATTCAAGTACATTTATACAATGGTTAACTCATCATCGAAGTTCATGGGCCATCGAGCCTGGGATTATCATTTGATTAGCGTCCTCTATTTAAATGTTTAATTTACCTATTCTCATTTGAAACCAATAAAAGACCTATCAAAAGACAATGAAAATAAGGCAGCGTCTACACATCGCCGGAGAAACTTGAAAACGCGTCTTTATTCTAACGGTTGGGCCTACCGTGCACACTAACCGTCACCAAAACGGGGCTTTTGGAAAACGCTCTTCAAACCGGAAGAATTTGAAAATTCCTGCTTTTCGTTTTGGTGTGGACTGAAATAGTTTTGAAAACGGAGCTTTTCGAAAAAAGATGGCATCACGATAACCATGTGATTTCCCTGACCTATAGTTTTCAGTCCTCAAACACAAATCCAAAGTGACCGGTTATTATTGTGTATTAGAATACCTCCGGCGTAGTGTGGATGGAAAACATTTGATGCGTTTTCAGAGTGAAACCTCCGTGTTCAAATTCCTCCGGCGTAGTGTGCATGAGTCCTAATTGCTCATGCAGCTTTTTGTCCTTGTTGAAATCATTAGTTTTCCCTAGTAATTACTGAGTTAAAACGCCCGTAAACAACCCGACGTAATTTTGTGGTTGGTAATTACACTTTTAAGACTATTGACAAATCAGCAAATGTCTTTCTAGAATTTGAACTCCATAGATAGAGTCTTAACTAAATNAAATGCGTTAGGTTGCTTGAAGAAATTAGCAGAGCCAGCATTCACTCTCGTGACTCGGATATGGAAGAAATTTCATCTCCAAGCCATGCAAATGTTATGGAAACCAATCTGCAATTTACCCACATTTCTTCCACATATTCGTTATTCCGTGCCCCTTTTCAAGAGTGTTAAGGTCGCCACACACGAGGGGACAAGTCCCTGCAACAAGTCGCAGTGTCAAGTCCCATCGTGTGAACTAGCCATTTTTGTCACAAAACCTAGTCGCAGGTACTAACATTCGGTCCGTGCGACTCGTCCCACGAATTCAACAAGTCCCTGTGACTTGTTCCTTAAAACGCTTCGTGTGAACTGTTTGTGGAATAAGTCCTTGCGACCAGTCCCTTCGTGTAAGCTCTTCACGAGACTAGTCGCAGGGACTAGTCGTAGAGACTAATCCCCTCGTGTATGCCGACCGTTAAATTGACGTATCCAGCTTATATTTAACGTCAGAAATTTGCACTGAGCAAGCTAGAAATAGCTTACAAGTCATTTTTTGTTTTGTTTTCCACACTTGCACATGAAACATTTTTTATAAGACTGAATCAAAAAATAAGATTAATTGCGTTAGTGTGTCGATGAACTGACGAGAGTGAGATACTCTGCTGCTTTAACTGAAGCACTACCTAACTGAGTATTGTTTGGCAACACGAGTGCACTGATTTAATCCTAGCCAGACTAAATTTTAAACTGCACGCGTTTCGACCGAAAGCATGGTGGGAAAGATTGTACCACACAGAATTCTCTGAACGCTTGATTGGACCGGATAATTCATTTTTAAGTCGTGCGTGTTTTTCTCTCACCAAACACCTTGGACAGCCGGGATAATTTACATTTAAGTCGGGCATGTCTTTTTCTGACCAATCCTACAGTCGGACGGTAGGATTGATTAGTATTAACGCCAATGCAGCTTGAATGTAGACTGTATGTGAAGTGATATCCCTATAGTAGTAACAATACCAAGGAGTTAAGCTCATAAATCCCTGCTACCGCACGCTAACGAGTAATGAGCCAATTGCTCTTCACAATGATGAATCGCGAAGCCCAAGATCAATACAAGAGGCTAAAGTATTCCTAAACAAACAAACTGTCTTTCTTTAGAAAACAAAACTTGCGGAATGCTTTGTATTGCCAGGTCGGCTTCAAAACATGCGATTTGTTTTCGGGTGTTCTTTGTTCGGCAAACGTATTTAAAAGGATTCAACTTCTTGAAGGTGATTGAAAAAGTTATATCGTCGAATTAAGACGGCCTAACTAAGAGCGCTATGGAACCTGCCTTTGAAACAAAACAAGTTCAAGGCCAATTTTCCATACTCCAAATTGATTCGGAAGATAAGCGAGTTGCTGCAATGCCTGGGACCGTCAGATATTCTGAAAAGAGAGTTAAAGAAGATCTCATGATGAATGACAGCGGTGCACGCATTTCATCGCTGGAAAGTGTGGCTGGCCATGCAAGCTTGCAACGAAGCCATTCTGATGGGGTACACCGGTATACAGGACGAAATTCACTTTGCCCGCCGTCGACAACAAAACTTCCAAAGATTCCTGCGAGGAGGTTATCGAGCGACACGACCGGGACTGAACAACATTTTGTTTACTGCAAGGATGGCTTGTCACGGATTCACTCAACTCGTCAAAATGACAGGAATCAAGGGTTTCTTGGAAGCGATCTTAACGCAGCTCCTTTTTCAGTGAAAAGAAAAAGTTTGCCGCAAGAAAGCACTTTTTCCCCCGACTCTCACCGTGCTCAAGGGCACCACTTGGTTGCACGAAGGCGAAGTGCGCCCTGGTCTTCTACTTCGAGGCAGCGAAAATCAGGCGTTAGTTCCTGCAACGAAGCCTCAAGCTGGCAGATTAAAAAGCATAAGAGAAGTCTGAACATAGACGATGACGATAGCGATAATTTAGAGGAAAGCTGGTCGAGAAAAAGTTCCAGTTCGTCGGGGTTTTCGAGCCAGTCCAGTCTGATATGACCGATGCGAGTTAATAAAAAGTGAATTGATGTGCTCGAATACCACGTCTCTTCCAAACAACCGCAAACTGATATTCAACGTTAAGTAAGCCTAGTTTTCTTGCAATGTCTGGCAAGTTAAATTAAAGTATAGCATTAGTCAATTGAAAAACTGAACCAACTTGACAACGATTTACGAAGGACCTCTATTGATACCAGCCATGCCAACCTGCAGGAATAAATATGATCGACTTGACTTAAATTGAAGCTAATTGATTTACCTTGACAATAGTTAGACTGAACTCGCTAAAAAAGCGAGAACTACTGTTGAGCATCCACGAGCAAGGAAGAAATAAAATCGTTGTTTACGAAATCGACGGTGAAATAAAACCAGCCTGTTCGAGGCCCCTGGCTGATTACGCAACCACAGAAAATGGCTTTTCATAGCAACCTTGAGATGACAGGGCTTCCTTGTTTATAGACTAATCCAAAAGATCTGTAACTAAGGAAAGATTGGGGTGGATACACAGGGAAGTATATCTGAAGTAGCAAGGAGCTGTCGTATGAAACAGTTTACTAGTTGATGTATATAGGATGCAAAATCGCACAGAACTTTAAAAAGTCGTTGAAAGCTGTATATACCCAGAATGTATTCTTTCTTATTGGACTTCGAAACAGTGACTGAGGTACAACCTAATTGTATAACAGTGTGAAAATAATATTGTGAAATTTTATGAAATGATCGACACATCTTTATCTTTTGTAATAATTTACTATAATGATATATATTATACGAGAAAGCGTGCTTTTAAAAATCTCCATGTCAGGCCTAACTCTTTTGATATACAATTTCTGAATCAAAACTAGCATTGTAAAGGTTTATGATTTATTGTAAAGGTTTATGAAGGATGTAAGGCAAATAAACTCCGTCTTGTTCTAAAGCCCGAGGTGTTCAAATCAGCATTTCAGCATCAATCTTGTAATGCAGTAGTCAGATCTGGGCTTTCAGTAGGGAATATGCCATGGCGACCATTTTTGATTGCGTCAGCTTAAATGTTCTCTCATGATGCAATCTTTCGTGAAGTTATTGCTTTACAGAAAGTTAGGAGTGAATAGGAAAGACCTTACATATCACACATACATTGAAGACGAAGGCGCAAGCCGTCAAACTTTTCAATAAAAAAGTATGGATTTAACAAAAATTCTTGATCACTTCAACAAGTTGTACTTTGTAGACTACAGATGAACTTTCTTTCCGAAAGCATATGATTGCTCTATCAGTTCAAAGCTTTATGTACAATTGAATTGATACCAGCGATTTACATCTCGGCGAAAAGCGATGCGTTGTTAACAGATATCTGCAATACGTTAACCATGACTGAGAATTTTCAAAAGTGATCTTGTTGCCGGGCAACAGCGAAAAGTTGACAGTACACGGGTTAAGATATGAATTTACAAACTCCTTCCAAATACATCGTATCATGAAAATTTCTCATTTTTACTGCTTTAATCTTATAAAAAAAGAATCATCATTATAATTAAAAAGAAAAGGAAACTCTTTGTCTGTGGAGGTGACGGTGCGAACGGCAGTGCGAATAGACTGACGACATATTGACACAGTGTAGATTTTTTGTTTATTATTCTAAAATAAATATTTACAATGGATCTTAATGATAGTGGAACATTCTGAATTTCATTTTGAAGTGTTTCTTTGATTCTGTAAAATGTCTGGCAGAGAACTCTTGTCTAAAATGTACGCTTCATGTAGGGAATCTCCATCTTTCTCACCTTGCTCATTGTCTAGGTTCAACGCCTCTTCTTCTTCTTTGCTGTTTTCACTGAGGCTGTCCATAGAAGTAGGCTCGAGACTTCCAATTGTCCAGGAATTCAGACGAATGGAGAGTGTGTCTGAACTTCGACGTAAAGGTACCCATCTAGAATCACTCCTAGACACGTTCGAAACTGGGCGACTAATGGCTGGCAACTCAGCGCGACTCTCAGCTCTCAGTTCTTCTTCTTGTATTTGTTCCGCCCCGTACTCTTCCTCCATTTTGTTCAGCATTTTTTTAAATGCACAGTAAGCCTTTGACAAGCCAGTTAGCGTGTTGTTATTATTTATTTTCTTCTCTTGAATGCTCTGCAAGTGGGATGCCCAGGCATTGCTATCCAAGCGTACTTTGTCGTTTTTGTTACTGTGGCTTTCGATTTTTATACTTGCCCTGGATTTGACCGTCGGTCCTCCAACTGCAGTCAGACCTGGAGTCTCAGACTTAACCTTGACCTCACGACACGGGCTTGTAGGCAAGTTATTAGCTTGAAAATTAACTGACTTACTTTGTTTCTCTTGATCACGAGGTCGACCATTCTGTTTTTTCAAAGTCCATATTCCCGCCTGCACTCTCTGAGTGGCAGGTATTCTAATATCGTCATATCGACTAAATTGAACTAGTTTAGTCAGTTTTTGTTGACTTGTGCCGCGTTCTTTTTTTCCCTTTGTACTGTTGCTTGGCGACTTCGAAGCTCTGCTTATCTTTCTGGTAGCTTTGGGCTTAGTTTTATCATTTGACTTGTCGTCCGGAGCCTGGCTCTCGCACTGAAACGCTTCTTCATCAAATACATCGTCATCATCATCGTCGTCCTCGACTTTTCGAAATGCCCTTCGTCGACAACATTCGCATCTTTTCAAGACGTTGACGTTGATGGGACGCAGTTCCACCTTTGGCGACTTGTGGGCGCTGCAATGACCAGCCTCTTTTGCTTTGTCTGCCGGGCCAGCTCGTGACTTTACCACTTGTGGAGGCGCAGCAGCGAGCACCTCTGTACTTAGTTGGCTGTTAGTTGCTTTCTTGGAATGAAAAATACCCGCCAGCTCTTTATAAAGTTGATTTTTCTCCGTGTACGAGTCTTTTAAGAATGTGCATCTTTCCCTCTCCACTTGTTGCTTAATCAAAGTAATGCGTCGACCGGTCTGACGAAAAATCCTAAATACATCTTCGTTCATTGACGTGGACCTCTTCAAGTTGGCATTTTTCTGAATTTGAAGAAAGGCAATCGAACTCTGCAAAGTAGTGTTGGTCACTGAGTCCTTGGTTGCCATCTCCACAACCTAACTTTCAATCTCAATCGATTAACAGCTTGTGTATTCTTCGTTACTGTGGTTCCTTTGTGTGTACTTTAAAAGCACTTAAAAGAGTAGTTTTCCAAAGAATTTCAGTTTTCTGTGAGCAACGTTTCGTAATCTTTTGCTGGTTTTCTTTCAGGTTTGTTTTCGTCACTGTAAACAACTTTAGCTAAGACCTTTACAAGGTACTGTTTGCCGTCAAAAATAATTTAATTGTCCCTCGTGTACTTTGACGACCACCTCTTTGTTGAAAAATGTTGCTCAAAATTTGACAAGAAGGGCAATGAGCAATTGAACATATACTTCTGTGTCGATTATCACTTTCGACGTTCAATTTCCAAGCAACTTATCTAGTAAACTTCGATGTACTTTGTTCTGTAAACACTATTCTGTAATTGATGGGTTTACAGTCAGCCAAATATATTCAAATGATGCAACCTTAAGTAATCCTCAAGGGGAACTCACATTGATGAAAAATGGCTTAACTAAGCTTAATAACAGGAGTACTGCAAACGTTGACGCACGTTTTCTTTGTCCTCGGATTCTCTTTGTTAAATTTGGGTCAATAGTAACCATGGCAAAAAATCAGTTGTTCTTAGTGAAACTTCGGAGACTTAACAGTGTCAATAATGGACCCAAAATGACCATGAAAAGTAATGAACTCTGGAAAACATTACATTAATTCAAGTACATTTATACAATGGTTAACTCATCATCGAAGTTCATGGGCCATCGAGCCTGGGATTATCATTTGATTAGCGTCCTCTATTTAAATGTTTAATTTACCTATTCTCATTTGAAACCAATAAAAGACCTATCAAAAGACAATGAAAATAAGGCAGCGTCTACACATCGCCGGAGAAACTTGAAAACGCGTCTTTATTCTAACGGTTGGGCCTACCGTGCACACTAACCGTCACCAAAACGGGGCTTTTGGAAAACGCTCTTCAAACCGGAAGAATTTGAAAATTCCTGCTTTTCGTTTTGGTGTGGACTGAAATAGTTTTGAAAACGGAGCTTTTCGAAAAAAGATGGCATCACGATAACCATGTGATTTCCCTGACCTATAGTTTTCAGTCCTCAAACACAAATCCAAAGTGACCGGTTATTATTGTGTATTAGAATACCTCCGGCGTAGTGTGGATGGAAAACATTTGATGCGTTTTCAGAGTGAAACCTCCGTGTTCAAATTCCTCCGGCGTAGTGTGCATGAGTCCTAATTGCTCATGCAGCTTTTTGTCCTTGTTGAAATCATTAGTTTTCCCTAGTAATTACTGAGTTAAAACGCCCGTAAACAACCCGACGTAATTTTGTGGTTGGTAATTACACTTTTAAGACTATTGACAAATCAGCAAATGTCTTTCTAGAATTTGAACTCCATAGATAGAGTCTTAACTAAATAAACATTGGGAGCAATTCACACCACTGTACGAAATATTGATGTCGTTGAAGCCTGTTCTGGCTCAAATATTAGCTGTGAACGTCATTTATTTTCAAATTGTCTTCCAGCAACTTTTAGTGAGTGTTATACTTTTACACAAGCTCCCTGACTAACTAGATACGTAGAAGCACTAATGAAAGAAAATATTATGTCAGCGTGTTTTGCAGTGGCAGTGTCAATCCGATCACCGGTGGATAATTGATTTCTTTCGCTTTTAATTTCCAAAGGTTGCTTCTCAACAAACGAGCTAATCCCACAAACGACACCGACCGTTCATTTTTCCAATTTGCGACCGAAAGACAATGTAAGTGCTCTTTTTAATTATTCTATTTGCATTTCGAACTGAAAAGTTATTTACTTTTGTTGAAACAAACCCGCTAGAAAACACGGAAACAGAAAACAAATATCAGTATTGTAATAAGTTCGGATCATTGAGAGACAAATAAAACGAATTCAAACACCATTGATTTAACGAAGAGATGGAAAAACCGTGTCAATAAAGAATGCACATCTGCGTTGGCAAAAACGAGATTAGTTTGTCTAGAAAAGTGCTTTCAATTCCTGTTCAAAGCCGAAAGCGTGAAGAACAATGAAAAGTACAGACCACAAAAGCAGAGGTAATGAACTAGGCAAACAGCCAAAAAAAAAAAAAAACAATTTACGCTAACAACGGTTGTGTTTGTTCAATGTACATTTTCTAGCACTCGCTAGAAATGACTTCCTTGACAAAAGTCTGGTAATTTGTTTAATTTTAATAACAACATACTTGCTGGATTTACTTAGTTCAATCAATTGACGTGAAAGAAAATGAAAAAATTGAACCGTATTGACAGATGGCTGCAATGTCTCATTTTGGATAGCTAATTTTTGTACAATGTACGCTGGCGATTTTCGACGGTGAAAATCACAAACGTTCTCGAGGAATTCATTGGTTTGTATTATGCCTTCAGGAGATTATTCCGGTAAGCAAAGGCAGTCAGTCTACGAAAAAGCTTTAGTAATCTCCCATGAGGGTGAAAAAGAGTTGTCACTACTTCAGAAGGACCTTGACCGTTCCAAACTGCAGGCGTACATCTCCTACAAGCTAGAAGAGAGAGAATTGCGAAACGAGCTGTTTCGAATTAGACGTGAACAGATAAATTTGGCCAAAGAGGCGAAACAACGTCAACGAGACAAGAGAAGCGTCGATGACATTGCAAAAGAAATGAAAGTAAAGAATCCTGGAAACAGAGGCGCCACAGCAATCATGCTCGAGAAAAAGTTTGCTCTACCAGAGGTTAACTGCACTCAGAACAACGTACCGAAGATTTTACGAAGGTCGTTGTCGCACGAATCGGAATATTTCACGTGGACATGCGGGTTGCCGAAGATCGAGAACGCAGTGAAAGCGTTAAATCCTTCAGGCGGTGAGCAAAAGAAGAAAGGAAAAGATGAGAGCAAAGGAACAGGTGATTCCGCTGAGGGAGTTCAAAATGATGATACCAGCAGAGTGCGGGCAAATACAATTCATAGCATTGTATACAACGTCCCNAGTTAAATTAAAGTATAGCATTAGTCAATTGAAAAACTGAACCAACTTGACAACGATTTACGAAGGACCTCTATTGATACCAGCCATGCCAACCTGCAGGAATAAATATGATCGACTTGACTTAAATTGAAGCTAATTGATTTACCTTGACAATAGTTAGACTGAACTCGCTAAAAAAGCGAGAACTACTGTTGAGCATCCACGAGCAAGGAAGAAATAAAATCGTTGTTTACGAAATCGACGGTGAAATAAAACCAGCCTGTTCGAGGCCCCTGGCTGATTACGCAACCACAGAAAATGGCTTTTCATAGCAACCTTGAGATGACAGGGCTTCCTTGTTTATAGACTAATCCAAAAGATCTGTAACTAAGGAAAGATTGGGGTGGATACACAGGGAAGTATATCTGAAGTAGCAAGGAGCTGTCGTATGAAACAGTTTACTAGTTGATGTATATAGGATGCAAAATCGCACAGAACTTTAAAAAGTCGTTGAAAGCTGTATATACCCAGAATGTATTCTTTCTTATTGGACTTCGAAACAGTGACTGAGGTACAACCTAATTGTATAACAGTGTGAAAATAATATTGTGAAATTTTATGAAATGATCGACACATCTTTATCTTTTGTAATAATTTACTATAATGATATATATTATACGAGAAAGCGTGCTTTTAAAAATCTCCATGTCAGGCCTAACTCTTTTGATATACAATTTCTGAATCAAAACTAGCATTGTAAAGGTTTATGATTTATTGTAAAGGTTTATGAAGGATGTAAGGCAAATAAACTCCGTCTTGTTCTAAAGCCCGAGGTGTTCAAATCAGCATTTCAGCATCAATCTTGTAATGCAGTAGTCAGATCTGGGCTTTCAGTAGGGAATATGCCATGGCGACCATTTTTGATTGCGTCAGCTTAAATGTTCTCTCATGATGCAATCTTTCGTGAAGTTATTGCTTTACAGAAAGTTAGGAGTGAATAGGAAAGACCTTACATATCACACATACATTGAAGACGAAGGCGCAAGCCGTCAAACTTTTCAATAAAAAAGTATGGATTTAACAAAAATTCTTGATCACTTCAACAAGTTGTACTTTGTAGACTACAGATGAACTTTCTTTCCGAAAGCATATGATTGCTCTATCAGTTCAAAGCTTTATGTACAATTGAATTGATACCAGCGATTTACATCTCGGCGAAAAGCGATGCGTTGTTAACAGATATCTGCAATACGTTAACCATGACTGAGAATTTTCAAAAGTGATCTTGTTGCCGGGCAACAGCGAAAAGTTGACAGTACACGGGTTAAGATATGAATTTACAAACTCCTTCCAAATACATCGTATCATGAAAATTTCTCATTTTTACTGCTTTAATCTTATAAAAAAAGAATCATCATTATAATTAAAAAGAAAAGGAAACTCTTTGTCTGTGGAGGTGACGGTGCGAACGGCAGTGCGAATAGACTGACGACATATTGACACAGTGTAGATTTTTTGTTTATTATTCTAAAATAAATATTTACAATGGATCTTAATGATAGTGGAACATTCTGAATTTCATTTTGAAGTGTTTCTTTGATTCTGTAAAATGTCTGGCAGAGAACTCTTGTCTAAAATGTACGCTTCATGTAGGGAATCTCCATCTTTCTCACCTTGCTCATTGTCTAGGTTCAACGCCTCTTCTTCTTCTTTGCTGTTTTCACTGAGGCTGTCCATAGAAGTAGGCTCGAGACTTCCAATTGTCCAGGAATTCAGACGAATGGAGAGTGTGTCTGAACTTCGACGTAAAGGTACCCATCTAGAATCACTCCTAGACACGTTCGAAACTGGGCGACTAATGGCTGGCAACTCAGCGCGACTCTCAGCTCTCAGTTCTTCTTCTTGTATTTGTTCCGCCCCGTACTCTTCCTCCATTTTGTTCAGCATTTTTTTAAATGCACAGTAAGCCTTTGACAAGCCAGTTAGCGTGTTGTTATTATTTATTTTCTTCTCTTGAATGCTCTGCAAGTGGGATGCCCAGGCATTGCTATCCAAGCGTACTTTGTCGTTTTTGTTACTGTGGCTTTCGATTTTTATACTTGCCCTGGATTTGACCGTCGGTCCTCCAACTGCAGTCAGACCTGGAGTCTCAGACTTAACCTTGACCTCACGACACGGGCTTGTAGGCAAGTTATTAGCTTGAAAATTAACTGACTTACTTTGTTTCTCTTGATCACGAGGTCGACCATTCTGTTTTTTCAAAGTCCATATTCCCGCCTGCACTCTCTGAGTGGCAGGTATTCTAATATCGTCATATCGACTAAATTGAACTAGTTTAGTCAGTTTTTGTTGACTTGTGCCGCGTTCTTTTTTTCCCTTTGTACTGTTGCTTGGCGACTTCGAAGCTCTGCTTATCTTTCTGGTAGCTTTGGGCTTAGTTTTATCATTTGACTTGTCGTCCGGAGCCTGGCTCTCGCACTGAAACGCTTCTTCATCAAATACATCGTCATCATCATCGTCGTCCTCGACTTTTCGAAATGCCCTTCGTCGACAACATTCGCATCTTTTCAAGACGTTGACGTTGATGGGACGCAGTTCCACCTTTGGCGACTTGTGGGCGCTGCAATGACCAGCCTCTTTTGCTTTGTCTGCCGGGCCAGCTCGTGACTTTACCACTTGTGGAGGCGCAGCAGCGAGCACCTCTGTACTTAGTTGGCTGTTAGTTGCTTTCTTGGAATGAAAAATACCCGCCAGCTCTTTATAAAGTTGATTTTTCTCCGTGTACGAGTCTTTTAAGAATGTGCATCTTTCCCTCTCCACTTGTTGCTTAATCAAAGTAATGCGTCGACCGGTCTGACGAAAAATCCTAAATACATCTTCGTTCATTGACGTGGACCTCTTCAAGTTGGCATTTTTCTGAATTTGAAGAAAGGCAATCGAACTCTGCAAAGTAGTGTTGGTCACTGAGTCCTTGGTTGCCATCTCCACAACCTAACTTTCAATCTCAATCGATTAACAGCTTGTGTATTCTTCGTTACTGTGGTTCCTTTGTGTGTACTTTAAAAGCACTTAAAAGAGTAGTTTTCCAAAGAATTTCAGTTTTCTGTGAGCAACGTTTCGTAATCTTTTGCTGGTTTTCTTTCAGGTTTGTTTTCGTCACTGTAAACAACTTTAGCTAAGACCTTTACAAGGTACTGTTTGCCGTCAAAAATAATTTAATTGTCCCTCGTGTACTTTGACGACCACCTCTTTGTTGAAAAATGTTGCTCAAAATTTGACAAGAAGGGCAATGAGCAATTGAACATATACTTCTGTGTCGATTATCACTTTCGACGTTCAATTTCCAAGCAACTTATCTAGTAAACTTCGATGTACTTTGTTCTGTAAACACTATTCTGTAATTGATGGGTTTACAGTCAGCCAAATATATTCAAATGATGCAACCTTAAGTAATCCTCAAGGGGAACTCACATTGATGAAAAATGGCTTAACTAAGCTTAATAACAGGAGTACTGCAAACGTTGACGCACGTTTTCTTTGTCCTCGGATTCTCTTTGTTAAATTTGGGTCAATAGTAACCATGGCAAAAAATCAGTTGTTCTTAGTGAAACTTCGGAGACTTAACAGTGTCAATAATGGACCCAAAATGACCATGAAAAGTAATGAACTCTGGAAAACATTACATTAATTCAAGTACATTTATACAATGGTTAACTCATCATCGAAGTTCATGGGCCATCGAGCCTGGGATTATCATTTGATTAGCGTCCTCTATTTAAATGTTTAATTTACCTATTCTCATTTGAAACCAATAAAAGACCTATCAAAAGACAATGAAAATAAGGCAGCGTCTACACATCGCCGGAGAAACTTGAAAACGCGTCTTTATTCTAACGGTTGGGCCTACCGTGCACACTAACCGTCACCAAAACGGGGCTTTTGGAAAACGCTCTTCAAACCGGAAGAATTTGAAAATTCCTGCTTTTCGTTTTGGTGTGGACTGAAATAGTTTTGAAAACGGAGCTTTTCGAAAAAAGATGGCATCACGATAACCATGTGATTTCCCTGACCTATAGTTTTCAGTCCTCAAACACAAATCCAAAGTGACCGGTTATTATTGTGTATTAGAATACCTCCGGCGTAGTGTGGATGGAAAACATTTGATGCGTTTTCAGAGTGAAACCTCCGTGTTCAAATTCCTCCGGCGTAGTGTGCATGAGTCCTAATTGCTCATGCAGCTTTTTGTCCTTGTTGAAATCATTAGTTTTCCCTAGTAATTACTGAGTTAAAACGCCCGTAAACAACCCGACGTAATTTTGTGGTTGGTAATTACACTTTTAAGACTATTGACAAATCAGCAAATGTCTTTCTAGAATTTGAACTCCATAGATAGAGTCTTAACTAAATAAACATTGGGAGCAATTCACACCACTGTACGAAATATTGATGTCGTTGAAGCCTGTTCTGGCTCAAATATTAGCTGTGAACGTCATTTATTTTCAAATTGTCTTCCAGCAACTTTTAGTGAGTGTTATACTTTTACACAAGCTCCCTGACTAACTAGATACGTAGAAGCACTAATGAAAGAAAATATTATGTCAGCGTGTTTTGCAGTGGCAGTGTCAATCCGATCACCGGTGGATAATTGATTTCTTTCGCTTTTAATTTCCAAAGGTTGCTTCTCAACAAACGAGCTAATCCCACAAACGACACCGACCGTTCATTTTTCCAATTTGCGACCGAAAGACAATGTAAGTGCTCTTTTTAATTATTCTATTTGCATTTCGAACTGAAAAGTTATTTACTTTTGTTGAAACAAACCCGCTAGAAAACACGGAAACAGAAAACAAATATCAGTATTGTAATAAGTTCGGATCATTGAGAGACAAATAAAACGAATTCAAACACCATTGATTTAACGAAGAGATGGAAAAACCGTGTCAATAAAGAATGCACATCTGCGTTGGCAAAAACGAGATTAGTTTGTCTAGAAAAGTGCTTTCAATTCCTGTTCAAAGCCGAAAGCGTGAAGAACAATGAAAAGTACAGACCACAAAAGCAGAGGTAATGAACTAGGCAAACAGCCAAAAAAAAAAAAAAACAATTTACGCTAACAACGGTTGTGTTTGTTCAATGTACATTTTCTAGCACTCGCTAGAAATGACTTCCTTGACAAAAGTCTGGTAATTTGTTTAATTTTAATAACAACATACTTGCTGGATTTACTTAGTTCAATCAATTGACGTGAAAGAAAATGAAAAAATTGAACCGTATTGACAGATGGCTGCAATGTCTCATTTTGGATAGCTAATTTTTGTACAATGTACGCTGGCGATTTTCGACGGTGAAAATCACAAACGTTCTCGAGGAATTCATTGGTTTGTATTATGCCTTCAGGAGATTATTCCGGTAAGCAAAGGCAGTCAGTCTACGAAAAAGCTTTAGTAATCTCCCATGAGGGTGAAAAAGAGTTGTCACTACTTCAGAAGGACCTTGACCGTTCCAAACTGCAGGCGTACATCTCCTACAAGCTAGAAGAGAGAGAATTGCGAAACGAGCTGTTTCGAATTAGACGTGAACAGATAAATTTGGCCAAAGAGGCGAAACAACGTCAACGAGACAAGAGAAGCGTCGATGACATTGCAAAAGAAATGAAAGTAAAGAATCCTGGAAACAGAGGCGCCACAGCAATCATGCTCGAGAAAAAGTTTGCTCTACCAGAGGTTAACTGCACTCAGAACAACGTACCGAAGATTTTACGAAGGTCGTTGTCGCACGAATCGGAATATTTCACGTGGACATGCGGGTTGCCGAAGATCGAGAACGCAGTGAAAGCGTTAAATCCTTCAGGCGGTGAGCAAAAGAAGAAAGGAAAAGATGAGAGCAAAGGAACAGGTGATTCCGCTGAGGGAGTTCAAAATGATGATACCAGCAGAGTGCGGGCAAATACAATTCATAGCATTGTATACAACGTCCCCGTGACTGAACCAAAGAGAGGCAACTCTATGACACAATCTAGCTTGCCTCCTATCAATACAAAACTTCCGAAAATTAATGTGACAGCCGCTCCAGACACGGAGCTCATTTCCAATAACAAATCTAACCGTGTCAAATTACCTAAAATTTAGATGACGAGTCCCTCAAACTGAAACTAGAGAAGAACGAACGCAGTTCTTTCGGAAATCGGGCAATTTGCCCGTCTCATTTCAGTGCCAGAATGACCTCCAGTAGATCAATAACGAGAGCATTTCGTTGTTTTCTCGCAAACACATGACTAACAGGAACATTCTGCGGTCAAGCGCAAACGAGTACAGCAGCTAACATAGTTCTGCAGCGTAATTCGTGGAACTGAGTGTTCTCTTCTCAACAGGCCAAGCAAAAAGTCTTGCGAGAGTATCGTAATTGGCGCTCTGTAAGACAGTTTGCAAATTGTAACCTGCACGGAATGTTTGTTGAAACTGAACAAAATAAACAACAGACGGGAGTTGAATATATGATTAATCTGGAACTGATCATAGCTCAGACTATAATGTTTTAGTTATTCCGGACGGATTACCGTGTACTTTATTCATTACGGACAGGTTATACAAATATATATATATATATATATATATATATATATATATATATATATATATATATATATATATATATATATATATAT